AAATAAAGATAAAACTTTTAAAACTTGTACTTATCGATGTAAACGAGTTGAGTCATTATTAAAGGAATTAAGAGAGCTAATATTGGCTTTTTGGTGGATTCAATTTCTTAACGCAATTCAGGTGTTATTAAACGCTTGTTAGTTTTTTGTTCTTATTAATTCTAAGTGTAAGTTTTGGGTGATAGACAATAGTTTTTTGTACTTTTATCCATCATTATCTTCAAATTAATTTAAAATATATAGTGAATCATGATATGCCTATATACGTTGAAAATTAATTATTTTTACCAAGAATTTATATCGATATAGTACCATTACTCACCTATCTATTAATATGTATTATTACAATAAATCAACTTTATTAAAAAATGTACAAAATATCTTTTTTTAATATTTGATAATAATATTAATTAGAAAATTGTAATTATACATAATATAATATAAAGATGTACAACTATAATAGATATAATTAGACATATGACCAAAAAAAGTTATATACTTAGTATTATGCATTTGTTTTTTAACAAATTTAAAAGTTATACATATATATATATATATATATATGTGAAAGAACAATATAAAGTAAGAAAATTTTAAATCTGATACATAATATTAAAAATATAATTAAGTTGTAATACTTACTAATATATATGAAAGAAGTAATAACTAAAAATGTTATGATTAATAAATATAAATATAAAACTTTTAAAACATATACATATCGATGTAAACGAGCACGATTGTTACTTTTTTCGTGCTTATTAATTATAGGTGTAAGTTTTAGGTTATTGACAATAGTTATTTGTACTTTAATCTATGTAGGTTAGAGATTTTAATTTTTCTAAAAATAAATTGATTATTGTAAATTTAAATAATTTTTTATTTGCTATTAGCTTTTTTAAAATATGTAGGGAAGTAATTCAATTGAGAAATTAATAGGTAATCTCAACATAAAATAACGAGTGACTTATAAGAAAATTATATGGACTAAAAAGTAGATGTTTTAATATATTTTAAAAGAAAAATTATAAACATAATTAATAAATAAAAAAATTACTACATATACATTTTAATGATTTATGAAAGAATGCAAAAATTCCATATTATAATGAAAAATCCAACAGTAAGGTATTCCACGAAAATACCAACAGATATTTCATTGGTATAGTTTCTATTGAAAAGATTCACTGGATATTCCAATGGTGAGTAAATTAAATTACATTGAAATTTTTGTGGATTTAATATCTCAATTACTAATATTTATTTTTGTATGAATTTATGTTGGATTTTTTTTTTCGGCCATATTTCAACCATTAAAAAAATTGTCACTGAAATTCGGAAAAACAATGAAAGTTCCATTGAAAAACTAGCTGCAGTGTCGAATCCAAAATAATTTCATGTTAAAAGCATTATCTAATTAATACAAAAGGTATTGCATCAAAACAACATAATGTCATTACAATTTATAAAGTATACTTTTCTTAATTTGTCAACTTTCTCATATGTAATACTTTTTTTAACACATCAATACAATCACAATAAGTTCAATAATATTAACAAAAAAAAACATAGTTTTTCTCAATTCGACATAAGAAAATCATAAAAAAATAATACATTTTTCAAAATCTTTTTATGAACAAAAATTTTATGTTGTAGTATAGTTGACTCGACAATATAATAGATGATTGTATAAATTACAAATATATAACTAGAATTCTACATACACTTAAAAAAGACTTAAAATATATTTTCTAAAATTAGATAAAAATTATGTCGCGAAAGAGAGATAATAAGATATCATCAAGAATAAAAATAAAAGAGAGAAATAGAGCGTAAAATTGTAAACTTTGATATCATATTTTCTTTAGTTGGGATACCGCATTGATGTTATAATTTTAATAACGTTATGAGTTGAATTAAATTATAATTGGTTGAGTTGTAAATTAATCATTATTTGTCTTTATTCTTTTAATTTTATTTTCTAAATAGAGGACATGATTAAAAATATGAAAAATATTCCCATAATGTTTGTTAGACATCTTATGTTATTTGTTTGGGATGATGCCAGTTTCGGGACTATTGGACAAACATGGATCTGTACATGATTGCAACAAAATATTTTTGTTATAATTTTCATTGAAAAATTCAAACGAAAATTGTAACGTTGAAATATTCGTTAGAATTGTTCTCGAAATTTCGCTGTAATATGTTTTCATTGGAATTTCATCATTTTCTTGTAGTAAAAGTATGACTCCAAATCAAACTAAAAAATTCGCACTATATATAATATTGTGTGCAGTTAATTGTTTTGAAAATTGTAAATAATGATACATAATATAACATATTTAATGTAATTATCATTTAATTTATGATAATTAGTAATTAAAAAATACATATAAGTTGAAAAGTCCTTAAATATTTTATTAGTATTATGATAATTAAAGAAGAGGCCAGAATGATGTTTTACTGAAAAGGTAATATTAATACTAAACAAGATGTAAAGATGATGTTCTACGTAATAAAAAGGTAAAACTACACAATGAGAAAGCTTATAACTGACATTCCACTCAAAAATAAAAAAAAAGGATAAAATTAATAAATGTCATATATCAATTGGAGCTAGCGAATGATAAATGTAAAATATACTTGAGATGCACATTTATAAAAAAATATATTTTTTTTTGTCTTAGAAATCGGTATGTTAGTCATAATTTTTTAGTTAAAAAATTAGTTAATTTACACCATTAAATTTCTTAATTTTGAAATACTTATTTTTTTTTGGTTACCCTTTTATATGTAATATATCATATCATTTCTTCCCATGATATTTGATTTTACCAATGTTTTGTAAATAAAATAAAAATAATATAATTATTTATATCGATGTAAAATAATATATATATATATACCAATACCAATTTAAAATAATAAATAGACCTAAAAGAATCTTATAAAATAATTATAGATCCATGTTAAATTAATTTTATTAATTATAAAATAATATTAGATAAACTTGTGGTATATTTTTCTGACATAGATTTGAAATATTCATACTAAGGAAAAAGTCAACTAGATGTAATTGTACAACTATTACCAATATTAAATATGTGAATTAAAACAAAAAAATAAATCAGTTGTATGTTAAACTATTATTCAATTATTGCTTGAAAGGGAACACCATAATGGTTGTAAAAAGTATTTTTTGTGAATATAAACATGAATTAGTTACTTAATATTTTATCAGAACATGGAAATAAATTCAAAACCTTTTAATATTATAAACAATATAAAACTATATTTTTATCAAGTATATTATTACTATCAAACACGTGAAAAGAATGCATTGCATATAATATTCTCTAATTCTTTCAAGAAATAAAATATTATTTGTGAATAAAAAAACAAATAAAAAACAAGTAAACCAATAGTAATGCAATGAGGAAAAGAAAAATTCTGAATTTTTTTAGAAAAGTATGAATACTAATATCAAGAAACAAAAAATCTTTTAAAATTACTACTTTTTTTGTTGCTAGCATTTAAGTATATATTCTCTATAAGAAATTAGTTCTCAAAAATAATGATTCGATATTATCATAAAATAGACCACAAACTTTAATAATGACTTCATAATAATAAAATTAACAAATGACTAAGAGTATCATAATATAGTATAATTCAAATTCTTCTCATCTGAAATATTTTACTTCTAAATATTGTCTCATTGTTTTGTTTTGTTTTGTTATTATTGAAGAATCAATGAAGGATCTTTATCTTGAATTTTTTAAGAATTAGTTATGATACAAAAGATTGGACAATAAACGCAATAAATGTTATTAGACACATAAATATTGCAAATCTGAAAGAATATGGAAGATATCTATCTTCTAAATTAATAACACTGAAAAGGGAATGTTTAATACTGATTAAAATATTTTTGAATGTTGAATAAGTTGTCACTTTTTTATAAGAATTTACAATCATAATTGTGTATTGTGCTCGATTATACGCGCATTTGTTTTAGAGTACATATTTTCATGTAATGTGTGATGATTTCAAAAAAATAATTTAGCATCTTCATAGAAGTACATGATTTTGGAAAATCAAATTTTATTTAGAGATGAAATTCGTTCCCACCTCATGGGTAAGTACTAATTTGTCTATGTGGAGAGAGAGAGAGAGAGAGAGAGAGAGAGAGAGAGAAATGTAGTAGTTTATACATTGATTAAAAGAAATATCAAGAATTTTAATGACACAAATATCAAGAAATTTAATGATACAATTGTTTATTTCACAGAGATACTTATGAACTATTAGTTGAAATACCTTATAATGATCATACAATCATCAAGTTTGACTATATATTTGGCTAAAGTATTTCTAAGTGTTGAATAAAACAGACGTTTTGCAAAATTAATTAAAAAGAATTTCGTAATACTATTGATGTATTAGAATTCAACGAGTATGAATGTTTCTTATGAGAACATCAAAATCAAAATAAAAGAAAATGACTCTTGAATCTAACATAAATAAATAAAAGAACTCATGCATCTATAATATACATTATGTCTTTATTTAGTCATTTATTGTTTTTTCATTAGGAACTCATTTTTCATATATTTTTGTTGGAGTTGTAATATGATATTTAAATCTTTATATATTACGACAACATTTTTATATTTAAAATAAAATGCATGAAAAGTTTATTTATTCTACATTTTATTATGTTCTTGCAGTCATATGTGTAATAAATTAATTAATTTATCTTACTAAATTTAATCGGTAAAAAGCATTCGTCGCCACGTGCATCGCACGTGCACTTTACTAGTTACATAAAAGCCTGCGTTTGCAATACAAGTACACGTGTCTAGCATGCATGCCATACGGCTCATGATACAGCACATTCCCCTCCACCTATAAATAGCTATTTATCCCATTCCCAAATTTTCCAGCAGTAATAAAATAATAAAGAGCGAGGAAAAATTGTGAGAAAACAAAAAAGAATGGGTACAAAATTGATGATTTTGCTGAGCTTTTCCCTTCTACTCTTTGGCGCAAACTGCTACAGTAGAAACCCAGAAAAGGAGGGACATGAAGAAGAGGAAGAGGAATCTCCAGAAGAGACTCTGTTCAAGTGCCTGATGTCGTGCGAGAAGCAGAAGAAGAACGAGAGAGAGTTGAGCCCGTGTGAAGAGATATGCGTGAGAGAGTATAAGGATGCCAAGAGACAACAACAGCCCGGTACCTTTTTGTTTACTGTATAATTTTTGTCACCTTTTATTCGGATGTGTTCAAATAAAAACCTTATTTCCTAATATGATCCACTCACTTGGCTTGCTATGTGTATTAAAATTTAATACTTCATTGATATTTTTAATATTGAATTGCAATGACAGAAAACCACCATCAACCCGAAGAACAATACAAAAGGTGCCAAAGCAAATGTGCAATACAAGAACATGGACAACAAAGGCAATATTGCCAGCAAAAATGCCAATGGCAATACGAGAAACAGAAAAGAGAACATGAAGGGCATGGAGAAGGAGATGAAGCGCTCAACTCCAAGAAGAAATTTGAAGGGAAAGATGATAGTGATAATCCCTACTTCTTCCACTCAAGGTTTGAGTCCAAGTACAAAACTAGAGAAGGCCACATCAAAGTTCTTGAAAGGTTTTCTGACAAGTCAGAGCTCCTCAAAGGGGTCGAAAATTACCGTTTGGCCATTCTTGAGGCAAATCCTAATACCTTCGTCCTTCCTCATCATTGTGATGCCGAATCAGTTCTTGTTGTTGTTGGAGGTACAACTATTTTTCTTTTATTATATGTATTGAATAATAATCAATTAGAATGAGAGTGTTTAGATAGAGAAAATTGTACGTGTCTTAAGTTTACAATGGTTTTTTGTATTGTCCCTTTTTTTTCTTTTTTTCTTTTTTTTCTTTGCAAAACAAGAGGTATTCCTTCAACTTGAAACAGGGGGATGTAATGAGGGTGCCTTCGGGTTCTCTCATGTACTTGGTAAATCAAGATGACAATGAGAGGTTATATGTTTTGAAGCTCTTGCAGCCTGTGAATACACCTGGCCGTTTTAAGGTATTCTCGTCAATATATCTCGTCTTTCCCGTATTGAATATTGTTTGATAAAGTCATTTAAGTATGATAAGTGAGTCGCGTAGGAATACTTTGGTGTTGGGACAGACTCTTTCTTCAGAACCTTCAGCAGTGAGATACTTGAAGCTGCCTTTAATGTAAGTATTTAATTAGGAAAAAAGATTTACGAATATTTCAAAGTAATAAGGGAAAACTTATGTGCACTGAGTATTTCAATCATATTTAGAGTCCAAGTGAGAGGCTGGAGAAGTTTTTCGGACAGCAAAAGCAAGGGGTGATAATAAAGGCCTCGAAAGAACAAATCAGATCATTGAGCCAAGAATCCGAATCCACCACAAGTGAGGATTCGTGGGAACCCTTCAATCTTCTCGATCAACAGCCCTTATTCTCGAGTAATTACGGGCACTACTTTGAGGCCTCACCAATTGATCATCGGCAGCTGAAAGATTTGGATGTATCCATCGGTTTCATGAACATCAAGAGTGTGAGTAATTAAACTAATATACATAATCTACTCTTACCACTATAAACAATTTTTATTTTGTTTTCTCTTTTCCCACAGCTTATGAGCACTCTTGTTCACTCTTGTTCTATGGGGCTGAACATGTATTAATAATTAGAGTAAATTGTAATTTTAGTCCTGTATGTTTCATTACCTTAACTTTTTGGTCCTCTTCAAATTGCGTTTTTATTTTTGTTTGTAAAAAAGTTACAAAAAGGTCTTTTTCGTGCGAAAAGAAGGTCCTTTATGTTTTGTTCTAATTTCAATTCCGTCCTTATGTATGAAAAAGATTTTTTTGTAACCTTTCTTCAAATATATGGGACGAAAATAAAAGACACAAATCGAAGAGGACGAAAAAGTTAAGGTATGTAATATGGGACTAAAATCGCAATTTACTCTAATAATTAACCCTTGTGTTATGTTTTACATCCCAAGTTGGTCCTTGTTGTTATTGTAGGATTTTATTACTACCTATAAATAATGAATTTATTGGATTTTTGTAGGGTGGGATGGTGGCACCTTACTACAATTCGAGGTCCACGAAGCTCGTGTTTGTGGTGGGAGGCAACGGCCAATACGAAATGGCATGCCCTCATCTCTCGGACCAAAGCAAACACAATTCACAAGGGCAAAAGGAAAAGCAAACTGGCGTACATTATGAAAGGGTTAGCGCCCGTTTATCTATAGGGGACGCTTTTGTCATCCCGGCAGGTCATCCAATAGCCATATTGGCCTCACAAGACTCCAACTTGCAATTAGCTAGTTTCGGGATCAAAGGTTCTTTTGATCAAAAACATTTCTTAGCCGGTACGTTATATATTGTCAATAAATAATTTGTCAAAGGATTCATACTTGTAATTATTTGCTCAGGTCAACTTAATAAAGAGAAGAAATGAAGATTTGTATGTGTTCATATAACTCTTGTTATTGCCAATAGTTTGATTTGTGTGTTGCAATTAGGACAAGAGAATATATGGAACGAGGTCGAGCCGGAGGCCAAGGAGCTGGCCTTTAAGATGCAGGCAAGAGAGGTTGAGGACATATTTAGATCACAAGAGGTGTCCTACTTTTTGCCTGGTCCAAGACATCATGAACAAAAAGGAAAAGGGCAATATGTGGCCTCTATTTGGGACTTTGTTGGCTTTGGATAAAAGATGAAAGCTTGAGGGAGCTTTTCTGTTAATATTGAAAATAGAGCAAAAATGAGAATGAGTGTAAGTAAATAAGAAGGGACTGAAATGAAAGTTGGAGTTGCCCAACTTTTTATGTAGTCTATGTGTTCTCAATGTAAAAACTAAAAACTGCTTTCTCTTAAGAATGAAGCTTCCCACTTTTGGAACTTTCTTATATTTTGATTATTTTATACTATGAAATTGTTTCTAGTTTAGGAATCTCTCCTTTTGAAATAAAATAATCATTTGATTGCAAATAGTGAGGTTGTATAAACCCCCATTCGTAATTCCCGGAAATTCTTCCTAGTGGCTCCCTTTCTTTGTAGTTGCTCCCTTCCATGCCTGATTGTTAATATATGAAATAGAACACAAATATTCTCTTGTTGAGCGTTTTAAGTTTTCTTTCGAAGATGAGCATGATCTTATTTACAAAGACACTAACAATCTTGAAGATGTTCTAAAATCTAAAGAGTGCAAGTGCAGTTGAATATCAACTTCTTGCTTGCTTGGATGGTGATAAATAAAAAATATGCGGAGAGCAAACTTATAGGCAGGCCCTAAACAAATTTTTTGAAATATAGACAAAAGAACCAACAAGGATTGGCTCAAGTGATAAGAACTTGATGTCGCTGAAGTAAGGTCTCATGTTCGAGTCATTGTGAATGCAGAAAACCCTTGTTGGGAGACTTACTCACCATTGTCAGGTGTGCGACCCAGGTCGACCAACCGATTAGTCGGGGCAAAGTTTTGGATACCGTGGCTGGCTACCAAAAAAAAAAAAAAAAAAAATGTGGACGACCAGGATATTTTTTTTTTTCAAAATTAGACGACTTCATTTTGTGCATGGTGGAGCTTGTAAGCAGAGGCGTAGCCAGGAATTTCTTTTCGCCCTAGGCTGCAATACATGCAAATTCAATGTGTGATAACTTGGCCTATAAATGAGCTGAGCCGAGCTTGAGCTTAAGATGCTCGACTAAGATACTCGAGCTGGAGCCCTCAATAAGCCGGGCGGAGCTCGGCTCGATAAATAAACGAGCTTGAAATCGAGCTCGAGCTCGACTCTTTTATCACTAATAACAAGTCGAGTTCGAGCCTTAACGAGTCGATCTCGAGCTCTAACGAGCCGAACTATAGAAAATTATATAAAAAATTTCTTTTATGGCCTTATCGAGCCTAGCCAACACGAGGCGAGCTGAGCCTGTTAATCAAACAAGTTTTAAATGAGCTCGAGCTCGGCTCGTTTATCAAACGAGCCAAACCGAACTCGAACCTTAACGAGCCAAGCCAGACTCATTGTATTTAATAGCACTACTGATAACATAGTTCGATTCGACTTGTGAAAGGTCGAACTTGACTCACTTGTATATTTAAACGAGCTAAAGTGAAATAACTAGCCAAGCTTTTTATCAAACAAGTTGAGTTGAACATGTTCGTGATCGACTCGGTTAAAATTTTGGGTTTTGGTCTAGATTTAAAAGCTTATTAAACAAGTCGAACTGAGTTTAAACGATCCGAATTCGGGTTCACATTTCTATTTGTTTATTAAATGAGTTTAGTCATGGCAACAAGTACTTGACTCGAATAATCTAGCCAGATACATATATAAAAAAAAATAAAAGTATGAAAACAAATTTTAAGTACTAATATAAATTACATGAATCACACATTACAAAATATTAATATATGGATGTTGTGTTTGTAGAATAAAAATTGATTATGGACCTCCGAGAAAAATGTGAATAATATTAACTACTCTTTTATACATATGATAATTCATAACTTTTACTTGATTAATTATTATTTTTTAAATGCAAATATATTTTTTCTCATGTACTTGAATTTAATTAGAAAAATAATATATTTATTAAAATGACAACCATGAGACGGTATACTAATTGTCTTATTCTTGTTGTATGACATGTATTAAGGTTCACATATCATTTCACTGAATATGCCACATAAATAAATGAGACTTGGTATTAACTTTTTTATATTCTGATTAACTTTTTTATATACTGAAATACCAATTATATGAAAAATCATAAAAATATATAATTAAATTGTAATACCAATAAACTCAACCGCATACTAAATACTCTAATTGAAATCTAACACAGTTATTGTCCCAAATAAAATGATTCGAATAAATTTTGTTTAACTAAATAATATTATGTAAACACAGAAAGAAGACGAAAAACGACATAATGAGATAAAATGAAAAGCGATTAGAGACTTAAACCATTTTCATATATATATAATTCATTGATTTAATTTAAAATAAATTAAATTTATTTTGGGCCAAATAAGATTAATATGGGGCTAGGCTAATATAACATGGGGTAAAATATTTTTTATTAGTATATAATTAGATGTTCTGGAAAATTAAGACCGGGCTGGAGCTCACCCCAGCCTTTGGGATGGCTCCTTCCCTGCTTGTAAGTCGTATTATTTAAGGTGTATTATAGATGACCGGAAACATGCTTTTCTAATTCTAAAAAAGTTAGGGCATAGTGGAGCCAACTGTTGGCTTCATAGCAAAATCGCACAACACTCATTGCAAAGAGATGTCATTGTTGTATTTACACATGATTAACTTTATGTCGTTGTTTCAACTTTCACGAGTTACAAGTATAAAATAATTAAAAATATTAATTTGTGACAATGAAAAGAACACGAACGTGGTATTTAAGAAAGTATTGAATAATGTGTAACCATCCATTTATATGAATTACAATTTATCTTGCTCTGGTATTTAAGAAAGTATTGAATAATGTGTAACCATCCATTTATATGAATTACAATTTATCTTGCTCTCCTTTGCACTGTTACTAATTTTAACATAAAAATTTGGAAAGTAAAATGCGACTTCTTGTAACCAAATAGATTTGACACTTTCGAGCCAAACTAAACTACGACATACATTTTGTTGAAAAATCTTAAAGGCCTTCTTGTTACCCAAGACACCCTTTCCGCAAAAGAAATACTGAACCCTCATACTGTGGAGAATCATTACTAGCAGAATTCGCAAGCTCAGATCTATACTAAGAACAAGGTAAAAAGATTATAAAGTTTCTTATCGCCAACTTGAGGAGCGCTAATGGAGTCAGTATTCGGATTGGTTGGGAAGGATTTTGCAATAGTGGCGGCCGATACATCTGCCGTTCACAGTATCCTCGTGCACAAGACTAACGAGGACAAGATCATGATCTTGGATTCTCACAAGCTCATGGGCGCCTCCGGAGAGACTGGTGACCGGTAAAACCCTGTGACCTCCATTTGCTTGTCGAATAATTATATTTCTTTCTTTTAGTTGCATTATTGGAATTCTTTTTTGGGTTGGGGGCCGTGAAAAAAGTGAATGCCTCCTTTTCAATTTAGAGTTTATGGCCTGGGATTTCTTTTTTCCGGTGAATCTTGTTGTGTTCTCTCTGGATTACTTGCTTGTGCGATGTGCGAGGGGACTGTGGCAGGAATTTCTTGAAATTAGGGTTATTAGTCTTTTGGGGATTAGCAGGTTTGGTACGGCTTAGAGTTATTGAATAGTGGGAGTTGGGGTCTTCCTTGAGATGGCGGGGAAGGAATGCTCCTTTTAGTTTTCCAATATTTTTTTGCTATTGTATCTAGGGTTCTGTGGGAAAGTTTTTCTATGGGTGTGGGGATCAGGTGAAAAGAAATGAAAACGGGATACAAATGGTGGAAAATTCATACGAAAGGGTAGTAACTTGAAGTGTACAAGCCAATGTTGTCCCCTAATGATGTAATATTTGGTGACTTCTTATATGAATAGTAAGGTTGTTATGACAGCAAAACATATGGATGAAAATACTTTTGTAAAGTTGATTCTCTAATTACTATCATATGAAACAATGGGTGTAAACTTAAAGTCTATTTTCACTCCTCTATCAGCCTTTTCTTTTAGCTGAAGCACTATTGGTTATGTTTAGTTGAAAAATGGCATCTGTTTAGTGATTAATATTTCATCGGATGCTGCCAGGGTTCAGTTTACTGAGTACATTCAGAAGAATGTAGCTTTGTACCAATTTCGCAATGGCATTCCTTTGACTACTGCAGCTGCTGCAAACTTCACCAGAGGCGAGCTTGCCACAGCCCTGCGTAAGGTATTGAAGTTCCTATAGAATTTTTCTACAACAGTTTGATTTGACTCGATTGGAATTTTTTTTATTTTTTTTCCTTTTCTAGAGTTCCTTTCTTGATTAATTACTGACCTTCTTTGTTATTTGAGCTTGAGTGGGAATATAAAATTTTAGCTATTCCGTAAATTTGCTTTGGCCAATGCGATTCTTGTTTGGGGTCTTTTCTTTGTGATGCGAGTATCGGTTTTCTTATAAATTCACTTGGAGCACCTCAAGAAGTGTTAAAGATACAGGAATGTGTCAATGCAGTCTGTTCGTCTGCCCATGTTCAAGATACTTATAACTTTTGTTCTTCAAAACAAGTGTCCTGAATAGCGTGTGAATTACTTATCCCTGTGGCGTTTCAGTACTTGACACATATTAGCTGATTGTTCATGGTGGACGATCTATTGAGACTTTTCCTTGGACCATTAATAATATTTTCCTGTTACGCTTGCTTACTTTAGCTCATCCTGTAGCTGTAGTGTTGTACATACCACACTATACTTGTGAGCCCTGTTATAGAAAATAGGAGAAAATGAAACAGTTGAAGCCAGAGGCTTTTGTTGTTGCCCCATTTTCTGTTTCTTGATTCACATGGAACAGGTCTTGTCGTCATCAGTTACTTTGATGTGTTTTTCTTCTCATCGTTTTATCCATTTTTTGTCACACATTCTGTTAGATGCCCTATGCAAGGCTTCTGTTACATCCGTGATTCTGCACATTTATATCCTAAGCTTCTGGTTGAACAGCACTTGCTCTACTATTTATTGTATTTTTATTCGTTGACCTCAAATGTTATTTTTACTTAAATTTTTGTGGGTGTTATATCAGAATCCATACATGGTGAATATCATCCTTGCTGGATACGATAAGCAGACGGGCCCATCTATGTACCACATAGATTACATTGCTTCCCTCATCAAGGTTGATAAAGCTGCATTTGGCTATGGTTCCTACTTTGCCCTCTCCATGATGGATAGGCACTACCGTCCGGACATGACTGTCGAGGAGGCTATTGATTTGGTCGACAAATGCATAATCGAGATTCGTAGCAGGCTTGTTGTGGCCCCACCAAACTTCATTATCAAAATTGTTGACAAGGATGGGGCTAGGGAGTACGCTTGGCGTGAGTCAATCAAAGATACCCCTGTTAATGCTGCGTAATTTGTTGGTTTTATATTTTATGATATTAATGAGACTTCAAATTTCCTGCTGGAAGAAACTGGGGTGGAGTATCTGGATTATTCAGGATCTCGTTGTTTTTAATTTGTAATGTTGCTAGAACTCTTTTGCAGTTTGAAGAAATCTGACTCGCGTGCTGTTGGAACTTGCAAGTTTTTTATTTCGATTAAGTTTGAGGTGATTAACACAGTTGGTTTCCTGTTTTTAAGTCTGACCTATCGAGCTTTACTGTTTCGGTTTGGTTGGACGAACCCTTACTTTCCATGTTTAAATCTTCACATTAAATTTTAAGTTAATTTTGAGTTCAGGAAGGTTTGCATGTTGGGCTGTATCAGGATGGAGTTCCACGGGTGAGAGTTGTTATTCGAACTAAGTTGGTGTACATAGCTCAGTTCGACTCATTCATTTATTTAAACTAGTTTAGTTCGAACAAAATATTCGAACTCATTTATCAAACGAGCCATCTGAGTTTGTCACGAAAAACTTTTATTTATTTATATTTTTTAATTTTTTTTACATGTTTTAAATGAAACAGCCGAATGAAGTTTGTTTACGAGCTGGTTTAATGTTTTAGGTTTATTAAACTTTATGAGCCATGATAGGTGCTTGTGTTTGGATTTTTCTTCTTCTTGAGTGCTGCAGAACAGTTAATGAGCTGTAAACTTTTTCGAAAAGAAAAGTGTGTTAGAGATGACATTAATATGCAGTTTTATAAATTTAAATATAGTTGTTAAATGAAACGAGTTGTACGTGAGATCGGCTCAAACGATCTGAGTTTGAGCTTATTAAAGTTCATTTAGTTAACGAGTTGAGTTCAACTTTGCTCAATAAGGTTCGAAAGGATGATTTTTATATAATTTTCTATAGATTTGTTTGATAAAGCTCAATTTCGACTCGTTAATATTCATAAATGAACTGAACTCAATCTCGATTATAAACTTGTTAATTTAACGAGTCGAGTTTGTTAAGGGCTTTTAGCTTGTTTACACCCTTTAAGATTGTAAATTAGTCACTTGTGCCAATGTAAATATTATTTATGCTATTTATAAAATGAAATAAATGATCAATTATAGTATAATATTCAAACGTCTCATCTAGAGAATTCGTAATAATAATCAAATTCAAATTTCTTTTGTCCATTGCAAATGGAGCTGGAAGAGTCATTGTTGACAATTCTCCTGGCATAGTGCTAATAATGGACTAAATCAAAATGGCTCAATTAAATTCTAGTGCTTCTTCTATTAGTGAAGTTTCTAGAAAAAAAAAAATATATCAAACGGCGCAATGCACCTTGGGTCGCTACGGAAACAGCCTCCTTGTATAATACAAGGGTAAGGTCTGCGTACAACTGACTCCCCAGACCCCAACCTGTTGGGAATATACTGGGTATGTTGTTGTTGTTGAATCAAATTCAAATTTCTGCATATAATTTGATTATCTACGTCCGTTAATCTACACTGTATTTACTAAATACACCACCACATAAATATCATACAACACTTGCATATCTATATATATATAATAAGAATTAACATTTTTTAAAAATGGCAGGTCAATTCTATGGTCAAAGATGCTTAGTATTAATTACTTTTTATTAATGGCAATTTTTTAAATTTTTAATTTAAAAACACGGACAACATCATTTGGAATTTGTTAAATTAATGACCACGTAAGTTGTTAAATTAATTTTTATTTTCTATGTTTAAATCACAGAAATATTTTAGTCTTCTTATTTAAATTGCCAATGGTTTAATGGTAAAATGTTATGTAAATAGACTTAGATATATGTATCACATATCACTGCCTAAATTAATGATTTTATTATTCTTAAAACTAATAAATCTTAAATTGAATCTGATTTATTTGTTAAAAGATATTTTGTATTCAAAGTGTCATGTTCTATTGTAATTCAAAATTTCAAATTGCCGATATGAATATGAATTTGGATAGTTTAAAGAAACAAAATCCCTTATATGAAGAAATTTATTCCTTGAAAATACACATTAAATTGCATAATCAATCAATTGATCTTAATTTTTTGAAAATTACTATGTTTATTTTTTATTAATATGCATAAAGTAAAACTAATTAACTTCGGGTCTTTCCTCTCCTTAAAGTCGAGCTCAACGCGAGAGGTCATACCAGGTGCTCGACTAAAAGGAGAGGTACTTTTTATTAATATTCATAAAGTAAAAATAATTAATTCATCTTTAGATATATAATTTATAATCTTAATGTACTATCATTTGGTGTAGACATTTATTATATGAATCATAAAATATTTTTATTTCATAAAATTAAATATATCAAAAAAAATAAGAAAATTTCTTTGGATCAATCAGATGATTAAATTAGGGTATTGTCCAAGTTGATTGTTTTACTTTTAGGTGATATTTAAAATAGTCAAAAAAATTGACACAACTTGATTGGTCTTAAAGTGACTAAGTTATCTATCTGTTTGATCAGACCAATTCGATTATTGAACCTAAATATAAATTTTAATATTAAAAATACTTTATTACTTGAATGTGATGTAGTCCAAACTTTAAATAATCATATTAACAATATTTTTATGACAACATGTTTAATAATTTATAAATATTTATATATCATTTTATTAATTATTTTGTGAATAAAATAATATTTTATTATAATTTTTATTAATGTACAAGAAATATAAGGTTTTCAGAACCGGACCGTCATCGAAACGATCAAGTTATTTTATTAAATTATTTGTGCTCTGTTTAAATTTTAATTTATAAACATTTTAATATATATAACTCATCGAAAAGATCAAGTTATTTTATTAAATTATTTGTGCTCTGTTCAGATTTTAATTTATAAACATTTATATATATATAATACTTTTTGTAATAAATTTAAAGAAAAGGTGATACTTAAATATCTAAACAATTTATAAATTCAAATGTTTAAACTATTGATAAAGAGTTTATAAATCTCCATTTTATTTAAATATGTAATTTTATATAATTTTAAATGTAACCAAATTTATTTAGAAATTCGATATCGATCCTACCAGTCAAACTGACTGGTGTTGACAGATTCGATAGCTAATATTTTATTCAAGCAACTAGACTGGTTATAAATCGATTCTCGGTCCATTCCCGGACTGTGTTCATCGCACGGGTCACGCACTAATTTTGTTAAGAAAAGAAAAGAGAAACACTACTCAAAATTTCAAAACAATGAGTAAGCATAAACTAGATTTTGTGTAATTCAAATTTCAAGCATAACCAAGATTTTGTTTAAACTACCGATTTACCAAACATATTGACTAACACCTGTGCTGTTATATTAACAACACTTAATACGATTTAGTGGAGAGTTTCATATAATGACTGAGTCTGAGGTTTAACTCGAAATTATACAAATCCTAAATAGTAACCTGAATTAAGAAATCACTTACTGGGACGAAAGAATCTTTTTGGCGGAGGCCCACACACTTCTTCAGTTTCTGCGTTCTCGATTGCTACTGGCACAAGCTACTCGTTCGCTCATCTCTTGTGAAAAGGGTAGGTTTTTCTTTCCGTACATTTCGCTACCGGCATTTTTTATTTATATGTTACTCGTGTTTTGTTTGTAATTGATTGGATGTTTTTTCTTAATTTTACACGCTCACCGCTGGAGGCTTTTGTTATTTTTATGATTAAATCTGCATTCCGAGGGTGCAACATTTGAAGGGTTATTTATTTATTTAAAGAAAAATAAAAAATCATTGCTTGAGATTCTTTTCAGTTTTGTTCATCGTCAATATTAGTCCATCAATCGTTCTTCTTTTCCTTTTCATTTGTTTTTGGTGCACATTTGATCTAGTCTGCGTGGCGTGTGCCCTTGTTGAAGAGGAAAATTTTGTGTGGAAGTGGGTAGAAATTAAATGCTTTAGGGGTTTGGTGCATAAAAATATTTCCAAAGACCTTGTCTTCAAGCATTTGTAAGCACCTGCATCTGATAAATACACTTGTATTTCCATATATATGTTTTTGTCAAGCTACAGGGGTCTTGTTGCAGTTGTAAAGGTGTGTTATTTATTGAAAATGAATGTTGGTTGGTTCCTTCTTGTTTTGTAAATTGGTGTGTGCATTCACCATAAGTTTCCAGGTCCTGCATAAGTATTTTATTGCTAGCTTTTTTTTCCCCGTTAAGTTGCTATTAATGATCCATTGGTTTCAAATTGAATTTAAGAATTTTGGTGAAATGAATATGTCTCCCTGCTGGAGAGGTGCATTTGCTGCCTTCGTTTGCATGTTGAGGTTTTAGAGTGATATGTTCCTTAGATTGTGCCAATATTGTTGGTTTAAGTTAGTTTCACTCACTCCACAAGTGAGTCTTTTACTGTTTTACAGGTTCTTTAGCTTGTTTATGTAGTTTCTAATTTTCCAGAAAATCCATTCCATACGTAAGCATACTGCAGATTTCACAATTCTATTGCCAAACCAGGANAAAAAAAAAAAAAATGTGAAACTGCATCCTAGGTGGGCAAGCATGTCATTATGAAGCTTAGATATCACTTTTCACTCGCATTTAAACTACCATTATTGCCGAAATTATCGTTATTTTCTTCTTTCAATATTCCATTAATTTCCAAACCAAATCTCACAGATCTTTACAAGATGAGCTCTGTTCACAACAAATCGGACGATGAGTACTCAGTCGTTGGTGACAAGGGCGACATTGGGTTCATTGACTTCGACAACTGCAGGTCTGTCTGCAACTACAACCCGTCTGAAGAAAGTGAAATAGTCAACATCTCTGTCCCATTCCCTCTGTTCAATGGGAAACCTCAGTCGGGATTCGTGGGCGAGACCATCTCTGACTCGGTCATCATAAAGAACATAAGCGGCGAGCCACTCGACCTCTGGTCCGTCAGCATTTACGACTCGAAGCCCGAAAACGCCTTCAAGATTTCTCTAATGGAGCCTCCGACTGCAAAATCCGACGAGCAGTACATCCAAGATTTTGTCGAGTCATTTTCCTTAGAGGATAAGGTGATTAGAGCTGATCGGGATTTGAAAATCTGGCTTTCGTGTAAGCCTGAGGAGATAGGGCTGTACTCGGCGGCCGTGCATTTCAGTGTGGGGGATGAGACTATCGAGCGGCTGGTGTTCGTGCTTGCGGAGGATAAAATCTCAAAGTCTTTGACTTCGAACAAGCCTTACCATAGGTCACGGAGAAAGAAACAGGACGTGGTGAATGTGAACGGTGATGGGTATGTGAGGGGCCGTCGGCCTTCGAAAGGTACGTATAACGGTGGCGGATATAAGAGACGGCTGGATGATTACCCGATTCCCGAGCATATTCGTGAGATGTTAAGTAATCAGCAGACGCCAGATGAGGTTAGTGATGGTTTGAGTGAGAGTAACTATGGCTTGTTCTTCAAGACACTTCTTGCTATGGAGGAGGTGAAATTGGAGGTAAACGAGATAATACCCTTTTGTTTTGTGTAACTCTAGTAGAATCTGCAAACCATTTTAACTCTTTTTTTTTCCTTGTTCGAATTAAAACTTCAGGAAGACATGAGGGCGTATGACATGGAGTGCGTCACTTTGAAAAGAAAATGGAACCAGTTTTTGTCTCTTGAAGTACCAGGACTGGCCGAGAAACGTCCTTCGCTTGTTAGTGGGGATTCTATATACGTGAAGCTTGCTAGCGAAGTTCAAGATGCGACTGTTGTTGCTGCATATCAGGTTTTTGTCCCCAACCAAGCAGGCCTTGTTTTGGTTTATTGAATTCTGTTCTGGGATGAGTTATGATGACTTGTTACTAACAAATCAACATAGTATGGGCTGATTTATTTGTAATAATGCGCTTGTTCCATTGTAAATTACCAAAGTAGTTTGTGTTCAATGGATTGTATGCAGTAGTTTCATATCAATCCGTGATCACCTTTAGACATCATTTTTTTTTGTTTGTCATTTTTATTCTCACATTCAAGAATTCCATGAACATAATTAAGTAAATGAGTACCAAGAACCTTTTATGGGGGCGAAACCCATGTTTAGTACAAATCATCTGAGGCTATTCAGATTATCTGATCAGTTATCATAACCATTTACTGAAAGCACCCACCTATCAATTTTCATGATGCCGAGCACTGGTATTTTTTTTCGAAATTCATCTCTTCAGCTAGCAATTTTCATTCTCGGGTAGTTACTTATGGCCTATGCATGCACCCATAGATTCTTAAAAAAATTCAGAATCCTCGATCTGTTTCAGTTTCTCCGAATTACCTTCTCAAGTACAGACGTCTCAAATGTATCTTCCCTTTCATTTTCACGCAGGGCTTCATCCACCGCGTAGAAGCTGAGGAAGTCTACCTGAAATTCGACCCGAAATTCCACAACACCCACCGCGACACTAACCTCTACAACGTGCAGTTCACCTACAACCGCACCAACATGCGCCGCCTCTACCAAGCTGTCGAGTCCGCCGAATCCCTCCCCAAAAAGTTCCTCTTCCCTTACGGCCCCCCAAAGCCAAACCTCGTGGGCCCCCCCAAACCCTTTGTCCCCATCTCATCCACCCTCAACGAAGAACAAACGAGCGCCATCGAAATGATACTCTCACGCAAAAACGGGCCCCCGTATTTGATCCACGGCCCGCCCGGAACGGGCAAAACCATGACCCTAATCGAGGCCATCCTCCAAATCTACCAATCACAAAAAAACGCGCGTGTCCTCGTCTGCGCGCCTTCCAACAGCGCGGCCGACCACATTCTTGAACGACTCCTCGTCGTCGGCCAAAACTCGGTCGAGATAAAAAAAGACGAGATTTTCAGGCTCAACGCCTTGACGCGCCCCCTCGACGACATGGTACCCGGCCAAATCGAGTTCTGCTTCGTGGAGGATTCGGCTTTCAAGTGCCCGTCCAGGTGGGACCTCGCGAAGTACAGGATAATTATCTCCACTTACATGAGCGCTTCGCTCCTTTACTCGGAGGGCGTTCGCCGGGGACACTTTTCTTACTTTTTCATGGACGAGGCGGGCCAGGCCTCCGAGCCCGAGACAATGGTCCCTCTCTCAAACCTCTATTCGAAAGAAAGCGTCGTTGTCCTTGCTGGCGACCCGATGCAGCTGGGGCCAGTCGTGTTCTCTAGAGACGCTGAGTCGTGCGGGCTCGGAACTTCGTACTTGGAAAGGCTCTTTGGCTGTGGGCCCTACGAAGGTGGGGACGGGAGTTTCATAACTAGGCTGGTACGGAATTACCGAACACATGAGGCGATTTTGAGGCTTCCGTCCGAGCTTTTTTACGATGGGGAGCTGAAAGCGTGCAAGGAGGAGGAGGAAGGGAAGGGTATTTTCGACTCGTGGGAAGATATTTTTCCGAATAAGGATTTCCCGCTGATTTTCATGGGTATTCAGGGGTGTGACGAGAGGGAAGGGAGTAATCCGTCGTGGTTCAACAGGATCGAGGCTAGCAAGGTTGTTGAGATTATTCGGGTTTTGATCGAGAGTAAGGGTTTGGCCGAGGGTGATATTGGGGTCATAACGCCTTACAGACAGCAGGTGTGTAAGATAAGGGGGGCGCTCGAAGGGCTCGACTGGTTTGGGATTAAGGTCGGGAGTGTGGAGCAGTTTCAGGGGCAGGAGAAGCAGGTGATTATTATATCTACGGTTCGTTCGACTATAAAGCATAATGAGTTTGATAAGGTTCATTATCTGGGGTTCTTGAGCAATCCAAGGAGGTTCAATGTTGCGATTACACGGGCTAAGTCTTTGCTTGTGGTTATTGGGAACCCGCACATACTGTGTAAGGTACGTTTTGAGCATTTATCTGCTTGTGTGTAAATTGGTGTTAAACTTCATCCTTTTCTGTTCCTGATTTGGTCATTTCTGCACCACTGCTGGTTTCTTCTTGGGATAATTGATAAAAGTAAAAGGTTGCAGTTATATTTTACCACCAAATATACTAACTTCAATGAAACTTTTGCTACGAACCCTTATTTTCAAGACGCAATAATAAACAAGAAGCTAAGCCTATTTCTTCTAAGAAACTTGTAACGTATTTTTCTTGAATATGCTAATATTCATAGTTGTATGTGTGTGCTAGGATCCAAACTGGAACAATCTCTTATGGTACTGTGTGGAAAACGGCTCCTATAAAGGCTGCTTCCTTCCAGAGAAGGAGATCTTCAGTGCTGATGAACCTGTGGGCTTAGGTCCGACTGATGGACAATACTATACGGGCTATGATGGGGAGAATAATTTTCAGTCTTCGAATGGGAATTGGGATGATACAGGAGATGGCTGGCAGATGCCTGATGCTGAACATAATAATAACCAGAGCTATGACGTGAAGAACGATTTTCAGCCATCCCAAGTGAAATGGGATGAGGAAGGAGATAAATGGAAGATTTCTGAAGGTGATTGGTGTCTGGACGAACATATTAATAATAATAATGAGACCTGTGGTGTGGAGAATGATGGGAAAAGGGATGAGGAAGGGGATAAATGGAAGAATTCTGAAGAACATAATAGTAACAATCAGCCATGTGGTGCACCGTTAGACAAAGAAGAAGACGATTTTCAACCAACGGACATCCCGTGGGAGTGAAAACTTGTCTGCTAATGCGGTGAAAGTAGAAACTGCCTCCGACTATATAGTTATATGTCATTTTAGAGTGTTTTGTTTTTTTGAAATTGTGCATGTATGTGTACATTTGTATTTATATATGCATGCAAACTTGTTCTCAAAATCTTGAGGAGTTACATTTGTGGGAAACAAATGAGATAAAGACGAAAAGAAAAGGCGGTGATTTGATTCTTACAAATGATAGGTGCATTCAGTGTAACTTTTACAAAACCATTGTTGTATGATTTGAAGTGCGGAGACAGTTAGGGAAATGTGAAAGTGTTAGTGTATATTGGG